GCGTAAACGGGAGCGGCCACTGCGCCGCAAAAATCCGCGCTCCCTCTCCCGGCCTTTTATTTCTTCTCCCGTCCCGTCTCGCCCCTCCTTCCCCGTCCCGTCCCTCTCCCTAGATAGCACCCCTTTTTCCCACCGGGGTCCCCTTCTGGGAAGGGCCTCCTGAGCCCCCTGGGACGCACATTTCCACGGGGAGCCAGAGCAGGCGAGGGTGGGGGGCTGTTGAATGGCAAACTTAAATGAAGAGGTGAGGAAGAGCCAGCTTAGCTAGGCAGGCAAATAAGTGGATGCTGCTTTCGGGGGGCATTTAAAATGACATCAGCAGGCGCCATTGTGGAGGGGGGCAGGGACCAGAAGACTACCTGGCTTGTCAACATTAATTTGTTTTAGCGCCGCGGGACGGAAGGCTGTCTCGGGCGCTGACTGTCAGATGCCGTGCTTTACAATAGACTACGGCATCCACAGGCCGAGCCTTTGATGAAGCCACTCGTCCTGGCACTGGACCACGACACCAAAAACCTCCACCATACCCCGTGAGAAATGGAGTTTCGTATCGACGTTGATTCGATGTCAAATTCGATTTTCTGGACGAAATCGAGTTGTTGTATGTTCCTCCGCTAATATCTTATCAACTTTTTGATCACAGCTTGTAAAACTGGAAATCTTTTTCTGCAATTATGCTTTCCAGTCATGCCGTTTCATTTGCAGAATAGATCAGGGATGGAAACGGTAATGAAATTATATTATTGCCTTTTTTGGCTCCTGTTCAAAAACTATGGGCCTTGATGAACTTTCGACACCGTGCCGCAATATATTAGAAAAGGCTCTATCCCAGCCAAACGGAGTTGCCCACAATATTTGCTTTTCTGGGGAGATGTGGCCACTTTTTCGCAAGAAATTATATTAGGGTGCCGGTAATTTAATTTCTTAGATAAAAGTTGCCACAACTCCTAGGTTAAGCACATGTTGCGAACAGCCCTGATGGGATCAGATGAATTCTTTTCTACTCTACCTATGCACGGTGTCGAAAGTTAATTAGGTCGCATAGCTTTTGAACAGGAGCCAAAAAGGCGATAATATAATTTCATTACCGTTTCCATTCCTGGAGTAGATTATGAGGTTTATGGAAGGATCATGAAAGCGTACAAGATACAAGATTATAAAAGGATTACAACATAGATTAAAGAGCCATATAAACTTGTTGAATTATCCCACAATAGAATTAAACTGAGATGTAGGGAACACTAGAAAAATTAATGTGACATTTTACAAGTGTGACATCCTTCCTTGGTTTGTCACATGACACATTGTGTGATGTGACCACATTTTTTGGTTACGTTTTGGTTGTTGATGAGCGACAGCAAGGCCTATCACTTCAAAACGCGTTTTCTTACTGTTATGTATTGTGTTCGTGTGTGTGGTTTCCTTTTATTTCCTGTTTGTAAGCATTTGGACGAAATCTGATATTTTCAGGGTTCCGTTTGTATCATGAAAAGCTAAAATTGTGTTGATTTAAAGTGGGCGAGCATTGTTAAAAATAATTGTCACCTGACGACAGACGGCGGGATGACACTCCTGTGACAGGATTTATACAAGAGTCCTGTATCATTACAGAAATATTGTTTTCATTTGAACCCTCTCGAAACTTATTGATATTTAACATATATTATTGACCCACAACAAAAACTACTTGGCATTGCTTTGCTGCACATGTACATAAAAAGAGTAGTAGTGGTGTCGAACTGCGCACAATATGTGTACATCGGCAAAAACATTCAGAAACAATCATGACACAATCACACACACTCGAAAACAATCACACACAATCCGAAACAGTCACACAAAATCCGAAGCAATCACACACAATCCGAAACAATCAGTGTGGATTCAGAGTTACGAAACGTAAGCGCTATTTTCACGCCGGGCGTGATTTTCACGCTTCGTAAGCCTCACGCAGGCAATCAGGGATCGACTTTCATCACGCCGGGCGTGAAAATCACGCTGTGCGTGAGAATCACGCTGTGCGTAGCCATATATACGATTTTCCTTCATATTACGAACAGACCTCATTCGTACTACGGAAAGTCTCGTTTTTAATACAAATGCTCCACATGCTTTGCACGTTACGAAGAGCAGTTGTTCGTAAGAAACTTACAGTGTACGCTAGTCAGCACCCTCATAGTTAGCTCCTGTAAGCGCCAGGCTCCTCGCCGTGCGCACCAAGTGCGTGTCTTACACGGGCCTTATGCGACATGACGGGCGCGTGACACGAGACGGCGTCGAACGGCTTCCCGCCGTCGCCCTCCGCTCCCCTCGCCCACCACAGTGTGACACGCGCGCGTGCACTCAAGACCCTTGACAACATGACACTATCGACAGCGTAGATCCGCCCACCACCTCGTGTGTGTGTGTGTGTGCGTGTGTGTGCGCGTCAGCGTCAGTGCGTGCTGCGTGGAGGTGGTGGCAAGGACTCACACCGCGCCGCCCGCGCGACACTTTGATGTCTTTGTCCGTCCCCTTTGCAAGCCCACGGTCCCGTCTTTGTGAGCAACATAATCAGTCGGTATGCTATAATTGCTAATTAGGCTCCCTGCCGACGGGGTTGCCAGGGGGGG